GGCCCTTGGTTTGTATTGCCCTTTAAAGACATGATTTGTGCATAATGGATTTGTGTTGTGCTGCTGCTGGCCCTTTAAGAACCATCTGGGGACATACTGTGGAGTTACTGGGTGGCCACCATTTCCTGTATCAGAAGCACATGGTGAGAACAATGGATGGCTGCCATTTTAACTCACAGACACTGTTTGGACTTTTCAACACGGTGCCATCTTGCCAGTATTTGGTGCACAGAGACATCGTGCAGTGGTTTTGGACTATACAGCAGGGGACACATTATAAAGTGATTGTTTTTCATTTAGCCTGTATATGTTCTGCAGAATCTGCATTAAACTGTATTTTCCAAAGTACTGAACGGATCTGGGTGAATTTTGGATATGTGGTTCAACCAGATCCCCCGGTTCCAAGGATATACTTTTTATGGGGTTATTGCATGTTTTGGGGTCCCTGTGTGTGTTTTATGAAACTGTATTATTTCTGGCCAGCAGATAATTGAGCTTTGTGTATTGTAGAAACTCAATTATCTAGCCTGGCCCAGAGGAGGAGTTTTGTGTTGCATAAATTGTGAGTTCTGTGTGCCAGTAAATCAGTCTTGTTCCAGCATTAAGCTTTGGCTCATGTGTGGATTATTCGGCGATTCCAGGGATATTTCTGCTTATGGAATATTGAGTGCTTTTCTTTTATGGGAAGAAGGGAATGCTTGACGGGGATATTTTCTACTACCGTCACATTTGGTGGCAGCGGCGGGATGGCGTCCTAGTGCGAGGACCAGCAGCTCGGAGACACCGGTAACGTGTGGAGTTACGGATTTATAATTGAGGGCAACGCTAGCCTCTGCGCAGCATCCCTACCTACAGCAACATGGAGCTAGCAAGACCCTGGACAGCAGCCAGTGAATTGCAAATCCGCCTGTCACAGTGCTATGAGGGTGCTGATTTCATGAAGGAAGTAAAGGCGCGGCTGGTCTGGTTTGGCCCAAACCCTTCAGATAAGGTGGTCCATCAAGTGATGCGCATGTTGAGTGCTGAGAACCAAGACGCACGGAACTTCGAGTACCAACTGTGGAGTTTGGGGGTATTGACACCCCGTCTCCAGCGACAGAGTGAGTTACAGGGAGAGGAGAGCAGCGACCTCCCTTCCCAGCGGCAGTGCACCGTACAGAGGGAAGAGACAACCGGTCTCTCTCCCCAGCGGCGGCCTGAGTTCCAGGAGGAGGTGATGGTAGATCCCTCCCCCGTACAGCAACCGGCGTCCTGGGGAGGGGAGGCAACCGGCCTCCCTCTCCAACAGCAGCCGAAGGTGGGCGACCTCATAGACTTGTCCTGGTGACACACAGAGATGGCAAGCGGAGATGGGACCGAAGTCTCTCTGCCGGCCCTACAGGGATGCTGGGCAGTCAGCCTAGGTCCCCAGTGGCAGTATAATATACAGGGAGAGGAGACAACTGGTCTCTCTCCCCAGCGGCGGCCTGAGTTCCAGGAGGAAGTGATGGTCAATCCCTCCACCTTACAGCAACCAGCGTCCTGGGGAGTGGGGGCAACCAGCCTCCCCCTCCAACAGCAGCCAGAGATACCGGGAGAGGGGGAAGACAAACCTACCCACACTGGCGCAGATGGGACCGCGGTCTCTGTGCCAGTCCTACAGGGAGGCTGGACGGGCGGTCCAGATCCCCAACCAACCCCGCAGGGATGCCAGGAGGAGGAGGTAAGCAAAACTTCCCCTCCCCAGCTACATCCCAACCGGGTCCTGGGGGCAGTGGATGAGCCTGCAATACCCACTGACCCCTCCCAGCAGAAGAGCTGGCCTCTGGGCAGAGCTCTGTTAGCCTCTGCCCCCCCTTTTCCCCTGTATCAGAGCCTGACTTACCACGGGTTACCCCAGTGGAAGAGCTGGCAGCAGGGCAGAGCGCCGCTGGCCTCTGCCCCCCAAGCAACACCAGCAGTTTGCCTAGCTGCACCAGGGAGACCGAGAGTGCTGCGCTGTCCCACTACAAACTTGAACCTACAGGCCAGTACCATTTATTGTGGGGGGGTTACTCTGTGTATTTTTCTTTGTGGGTGGGCTGCCCGACTAATCTAGGTACTGACCAGCAGAAGGTCAGGTACCTGTTTAGTCTTCCCCCCAAAGGGAAGATGTGTGACGAAGTGCCCTTCGCCACTTGTGCCTGGAGAGGACTTGTTGCCCGCCTCTTGCCCTGTGACTATGGCCCCTGGTTTGTATTGCCCTTTAAAGACATGATTTGTGCATAATGGATTTGTGTTGTGCTGCTGCTGGCCCTTTAAGAACCATCTGGGGACATACTGTGGAGTTACTGGGTGGCCACCATTTCCTGTATCAGAAGCACATGGTGAGAACAATGGATGGCTGCCATTTTAACTCACAGACACTGTTTGGACTTTTCAACACGGTGCCATCTCGCCAGTATTTGGTGCACAGAGACATCGTGCAGTGGTTTTGGACTATACAGCAGGGGACACATTATACAGTGATTGTTTTTCATTTAGCCTGTATATGTTCTGCAGAATCTGCATTAAACTGTATTTTCCAAAGTACTGAACGGATCTGGGTGAATTTTGGATATGTGGTTCAACCAGATCCCCCGGTTCCAAGGATATATTTTTATGGGGTTATTGCATGTTTTGGGGTCCCTGTGTGTTTTATGAAACTGTATTATTTCTGGCCAGCAGATAATTGAGCTTTGTGTATTGTAGAAACTCAATTATCTAGCCTGGCCCAGAGGAGGAGTTTTGTGTTGCATAAATTGTGAGTTCTGTGTGCCAGTAAATCAGTCTTGTTCCAGCATTAAGCCTTGGCTCATGTTTGGGGGATTGGAGAAATACACTCTGGGGATTGCTATAATCACTATACTCCCCAGGGTATGATCACTAAGTTCTGCTAAGAGCTTGTTCCTGCTCTCTGGGGAAAGAGAGGTTCACCCACTGGAAGCTGGATCCTGGCCTTGGGTCCAGGGTGGGTGGAGACAGCAGAGACCCCAGCGCAGTTGCATCGCTGGAAGTGGGGTCTGCAGTGCTGATGGTGTCGGTTGGAGTGCTTGGAGTCCTCGGCAAGCGCTAGGAGCATCGATTGGCGGAGGTACTCAGTCGGAGTGCCAGCGTTCCGTCACAATGTCGTTTAGACCACATATGGTGGTGTTCACATTTGCCCTATTTCCAGGTTCGGTTTAACAATTAGGGTTTTTGATTCAGACACCATTTGTACAACGTGATCACCTTATCTATTGTGACTGTTTAGGCAATATTCCACTACCTGTTTTTTTATTACTGTTTGTTCAGACACTATATAAAGATTGTAGCAACAGTGTTTCCATCTTTGATTTACTAGATACACACTATCCAACTGTGATGCCCGTTAGCATTTATATATACATTTGCTACCTTATATTTTGTTTGGCTTAGGTTGTCTAGTGGTTTATTCTGATCTTTACTATTTTACCACTAGATATACTTTATACACCTCCATATTCAATATTAGATTGTCCCAGCGATCTTTTTTAGTTCATATTTTCCATTTCTTACTTTTGGTATATTTTGGTTTATTTAGTAGTGTCTTTCCTGTTTTAATATATATATTCAATAAATGCGACGTTTTAAAGACTTTTCCTTTCATTATCTTTCGGACAGCTAACGCTCCTTTTTCTTTCTCTACTATATTTACCTTTAGGTTTATCCCCTTGTTTCTGTCCTGGATTTTCTATACGTACACTGAGTTTCCACCTTGTCTCTTTTCTAGGACTAATACACAGTTAAACAGCAACTAGGGGCACTTCCAGGTTGCTAACGGATTTTTGGTCGCCCACTGATGCTGGACATCCTCGCGCTCTGTATGAGGACATCTGGCATCAGTAAAATTAAAAACCAGGATAGCTGAATACTGCAGGAAGATTTTTAAACGTTTTATGAATTATACATTTTTTAATCCATACCAAAGACCCAAAGTTATTAAAATGTGCAATACAGTGGGTCACCCCTCCATGGAGAGGAGGTAATATTGTTAAAATGTTGGGAAGGAAAGAAACGTAATGGGTGTTTGATTTAAAAACTCTTTTCCCCCATGGTTTGATTGCTGAATTTGAACTTTTAAGTGTTTTATAACTTTTTAACATTCCTCTTATTAGGCTGTTGAGTTAATTATCTTAATTTTTTTTTTCTTTACAATATTATTAGTGATGTCGCGAACAGCATGGACAGCATCCATGTTGAAGGCAGCTTCAACATGGATGCTGTCCAGGAGGTGGGAGGGTCTGGGAGGGAGGGTCTGCCGGAGAATGGCAGGGATGTGTCAGCTGACCGGAGTTCGCCGCGAACGGTTCGTGGCGAACCGTGGCGAACCGTTCGCGGCAAGTTCGCGAACGGTTCGCGACATCACTAAAAATTATTAGAGGGGGGATTTAACTATAAAATTATTTTGTAGCTCTACTTGTCTCTAGAGCTCTATATTGGATCTCCTTTGCTAGGGTATTTAGAGCTCTAGACTAGAGTTGAGCGGACACCTGGATGCTCGGGTCCGGCGAAACTTTGAAAAAAAGTCTGGGTTCGGGCTCGAACTTGACCCCAAACTTGACCCGGAACCCCATTGAAGTCAATGGGGACCTGAACTTTTGGCCACAAAAATACCTCTAAAAAAACTCCTGGAAAGGGCTAGAGAGCTGCAAATTGAAGTAAAATGGGGGTAAGAGTAGGACAAGTGCCCTGCAAACAAATGTGGATAGGGAAATCAATTAAAATAACATAAAAATGTAAAATACAGCTGAGCCATAAAATAGAACTAGATGGGATCGTTGAATTTAGCTTTGGAAGAACATAAATCAAAATCTAAAGCATGGCTGTCAGGAGGATGAACAGAATTATCAATTTGAGAGAGGGTTGGAGCGCAGGGTATTCTCTTTCATTGTTCAAACTGAGCTCAACTCCTGATGGATGGAGAAAAGGCCTTCACAAGCCTCTGCTAATGTGTACCTAGTTTATACTAAGTGACCCATAGGTTGAGGAGGCGGTGACCATGGCGGTGGAGGAGGAGGATGAGGTAGCCAACACTGTTTTTATATATATATATTTTAATTGGGGTAGCCCCCAAAATATTGGGACATATAAAAAAGACAACTCTGTTCCGCAGAGTAGCTGTTGACGTTATAGTTGCGCAGGAACTTTGTTGACTCTAGAGAACCTTGGGCAAATCGCACATCCCCACGGCGGCGACTTTGCATGCGGATGGCATCCATATCAACTTTCGATGCCAGTTTCTGCACCTACCATGGTTACCACGGTAACTGGGAATCAGGGTTCCATTCCGTACAGGGACCCTGAGAAACGGCTACCACATGCAAAGAAGGCAGCAAGCGCCCAAATGACCTACTCCCGACGCGGGAAGGTAGTGACGACAAATAACAATACAGGACTCTTTAGAGGCCCTGTAATTGTAATGAGTCCACTTGAAATCCTTTAACTCTGATCATTTGGAGGGAAGTCTGGTGCAGAGCCACTGACCCGTGTGTGCTGCAGATGAAACTCCACTATCGCCTGCTGCTCGCAAAGTCTCATGAGGCGGTGAGCGGAAAGGCTGAAGTTACGCTGCAGCGCAGACAGGCTAGCAGCAGCAGGGTGACAAGTCAAAAGCGCGCACAGCCGCTACAGTGAATGTTCAGGTTCGCTCAAGTCTATTATGGATCCTTTGATCGCTACATATATTACTTGGATAACTGGTAATTCTCAAGCTAATACATGCCGACGAGCGCTAGGGGGCGGCTGCTCCACTTTTGCACCCTGCTTCCTCTTATCCTGTGCTGGTGCCTCTGTGCCACAGCGCCTCTTCCTCCAAACTGCAGACGTCACTCTCATGACCTTGATTCCATGTGGGGTCTAGGACCTCATCATCCTCCACTTCATCTTCCACCCCCTCCTCAACCCTGCCCTCCTTCCCGGTATGCACACTGCAGAAAGCCACAGCAGTTGGCACCTGTGTTTTTCCAGCATGTAAAGTCTGCAAAGGACATATGGAAATTGTTTTAGAATTGTATCCAGGCAACAATTTTCCCTAAAAACTGACCTCTCAGTTTGACTTGTGAGGGTATTGCCCCAGAATTACAATATTGTTGAAGTACCTCTTAGCTATTGATCACTGGTATAAATATAGCAGCTTGTTATCTGGTAGTTTCTAGTGTAGAAAATATCAATCTGTTTTCTATCACTTAGATCTGTGTAACAAGTGTTGTAGGTGTGAAACAATATTACAAGTGACCGATGTAGTAAATTCGAATCAAAGTTACACTTCGATTTGACTCTCAGATATGAAGTGAACACCCCAAATATACTATTTAGCGCCAAAAAAATTAAAAAATTTTTACTTTTTAAAACTCCAATGTAAGCAGCAGATTAGCAGCAAAACAATTAGAATGTTTACAAGTGTGCAGAAAGCACACTATTAGATGCTTCAATTTGGCTCTAAGATATGAAGAACAGGCCCCAAAATGAACTATTTAGCAGATTAGCACCCAGAAAATAAGAATGTTTACCACTGCGCAGTATTGCACTATTTGATTCTTCTATTTGACTCTCAGATATGAAGTGCACCGCAGGCCCCAAAATGTACTATTTAGCAGATTAGCAGCAAAACAATTAGAATGTTTACATGTGCGCAGTAAGCACACTATTAGACGCTTCGATTTGACTCTCAGATATGAAGAACAGGCCCCAAAATGTACTATTTAGCAGATTAGCAGCAAAACAATTATAATGTTTACAAGTGCGCAGTAAGCACACTATTAGACGCTTCGATTTGACTCTCAGATATGAAGAACAGGCCACAAAATGTACTATTTAGCAGATTAGCACCCAGAAAATAATAATGTTTACCACTGCGCAGTAAGCGCACTATTTGACGCTTCTATTTGACTCTCAGATATTAAGTGCTGCAGATTAGCAGCAAAAAAAATAAAATGTTTACAAGTGTGCAGTAAGCACACTATTAGATGCTTCTATTTGACTCTCAGATATGAATAACAGGCCCTAAAATGTACTATTTAGCAGATTAGCACCCAGAAAATAAGAATGTTTACCACTGCGCAGTAAGCGCACTATTTGACTCTCAGATATGCAGAGCAGGCCACAAAATGTACTATTTAGCAGATTAGCAGCAAAAAAATTAGAATGTTTACAAGTGCGCAGTAGTACTAATGTACTTTTTAGCACCCCAAAAAATTTAAGTTTTAAAACTGCAATGTGACAGCAGTATTTGACGATTCTATCTTACTCTCAGATATGAAGTGCACCCCACTAATGTACTACCCCACTAATGTACTATTTCGCACCAAAAAAAATTACTTTTTAAAACTCTGATGTAACCGCGGTATTTGAAGCTTCTATTTGACTCTCAGATATGAAGTGCACCCCACCCCACTAATGTACTAGTTTGCAGAATTCTTTCCTAAGCTGTCCCTATCAGTGGCAGCATCTCTCCCTACACTAATAAGACCGCATGTGCGTGCGGTGCTACGCGACTCCAGCTTATATATAGAGGCTGGGTCACATGCTGCACTGGCCAATCACAGCCATGCCATTAGTAGGCATGGCAGTGATGGCTTCTAAGGTCACACGAGTCAAACGCTTGTTGATTGGCTGCCCTGCAGCCTTTCAAAACGCGCCATTAAATCGCTGAACACCGAACTCCAACCCGAACATACAGTGATATGTCCGTGTTCTGGTCCGGGGTCCAAAAAAACCTAATGTTCGGTAAGAACACGAACTTTTCAGTTTGGGTTCACTTAACTCTACTCTAGACCCCTCTACATGGCATGTAACCTATAGCCATTTTGATGGAGCCTTCTGATGTGATTCCCTTAGGCTTTCAACAGGAGATCCATCTATTGAGTTCCCCTTTTTCCTCCGTCATTTCAGCTTTTAACTGGTGGCTCATACTGATCCTGAGAATCATGTGACCAGCAATAAAGTTTACCGGCTCCATTTTGGGAAAATACATCCCTCACCTCTTCTAAGCTTTTTAGCCATTGTTTTTAATTTGTTCCAGACTATTCACCTCCCCAGTCTTTATTGGGGACACCACTTTGATATTCTGCTCTACCTCATCAATAAAGAGTATGCCACGATTTAGTAGGTGAAGTCCAGGATGCAATAATAGTCTAAGAAACTCCAATGCAAGGTACAGATAAGGATGAGGCAAAGGAGAGGTTGGACAGGTAAAAAGTCATTACAGGCAGCAAAGGTTCATAAACAGAAGTTAAGCCAAAGGTATTCAGAATAGCAACAAATTAGCAACTGGTATGATCAAGGAGATGACAGCTGACAAGTACTGACAGTACTTGTGAGCAGGTTTAAATTGGAGAGGGGGACACAACCACTTTCCTGGCATGCCATCTGATGGTAACGCCCCCTGCTCCTTTAAACAGTGATTTAACTCCTATACGGCACAGAATTGGTCAATGAAACTACAGGAGCATGAACTCCACACCAAAATGGCTTCATTAAAGGGACACTATAGTCACCAGAACAACTACAGCTTATTGTATTTGTTCTGGTTAGTTTAACCCCTTCCCGACCGCAGAAGTATCAGGTACGTCTGACAAAAATCTGTCCTTATGGCTGCAATACCATCAGAGTGGCTGGAAGTGATCATGATCGATTCCAGCGCTTAAATTTGCAGCGGACTTATTAGGTAAAATAAAAATCATTAAAATAATAAAATAAATTAATAAAATATATATATTAACCCCCAGCCATGTGTCTCCCAAGATGGTGCTGCCTTTCTAAAGGCAGTGCATCATGGGGCTTCTGGGGGTGTCCCTGTCCTGATTGCCCTGGACAGCCTGGACTCTGCATTGGGGACTGCTTCAAACGATACAACACACTGGTCCATTTAAAAAAAAAAATTAACATTTGCCATTTTTTTTTGTTACGTTTACCCTATGTATGGGGTGCATGGGTGTACTCAGGAGGTCCTGCAGAAAACAATCTGGAGTGTTTCCTTGCAATAACCAACAACAGGCTCTCCTAAATCACAGTCAAAAAGCAATGTGTGTGTAAAAATGAAAATTGAAAAATTACCACCACACACTTTCTCCAATTTTTGGGGCATCAAAGCAGTCCATATACAATACCTCGGGGTGTTTATGTTTTAAATATATATACTTTCATGGCAATAAATAAAACTGGGGTACATGATAAGCCCCAAGCTAAAGATAGGTGTATCAGAAGAAATACTCTCAGCTTTAACTCAAATGACAAGTCATACAATTGTAACTGAACCTTCCCAAAATTCTGGCAAACCTATGCATGGGGGGCATGGTTGTACTCAGGAGGCCTTGCAGAAAACAACCTGGAGTGTCTTCTTGCAATAACCAACAACAGGCTCTCCTAAATCCCAGTCAAAAAGCAATGTGTGTCTAAAAATGAAAATTTAAAAATTACCACCACACATTTTCTCCAATTTTTTGACTAAAATGACTGCATCAAAACACTCCATATATAATGCCGTGGGGTGTTACCTTTTCAAATATATGCACGCTCATGGCAAGAAAATAAATTGTGATATGTAAAAAGGCCCCCAAAAAGAAGATAGGCAAGGAAGATATGTCAAATTTGAAAAACACATGTCAGAAGCTTGGCACCCCCCAAACCTATGCACAGGGGGTATCACTGTACTCAGGAGATGTTGCTGAACACATATTGGGGTGTTTTTTGGCAGTAGCACCTAACAGAAGCTGAGAATCCATGCCTAAAGTAGAATGGTGGTAGAATTAGTGAATGAAAAGTGTTAAAATACCACCATTTGAAATACCCTAGGGTGTCTACTTTTTCAAAAATATATGGTTTGATGGGGGTAAATTACATTGTCCGGCTTCAAAAATGTCCCAAATGGGACATGGGTGCATGACGACCAGCTGTGAAAATTTCAAGTTGGAAAACTGGAATGCGATAATAATCCAAATAAGGTCTTTGAGCCCCTAGATAACCCGTTACACCTGTACGTGGCTGGTATCACTGTACTCAGGAGATGTTGCTGAACACATAGTGGGTGTTCTTTGGCAGTAACCCTTAAAGTTCTCAGTACATGTGTTCTTAAATTGCTATGTGTGTCAAAAAAAATCACCAATTATTATTTTTTTTTACATTTGGCATAGATTGGTGGTAAAATGGTTCATGAAAAGAGTCAAATTATCCTAAGTTTAATACCTTAGGTTGACTTCTTGTACAAAATATATACATGTAAAGGGGTATTTAGGGATTCCTGACAGATATCACTGTTACAATGTAATGGGTTAATTTTGAGAAAAAAAAATTGTTTGGAAATAGCAAAGTGCTACTTGTACTTATAGCCCTATAACTTCCAAAAAAAAAAAGTTAAGAACATGTTAACATTGGGTATTTCTA